GATCTATTTCCCACCAAAGTTTTGTCGCCCCTATCGACAAGGAATCTCTCCTGGAAGTGAGAACACAGTAACTAAGTTAAACCAATTGGCCATTACTGTATGAACCTTTGTGCATAGACCAAAATACTGTCACTGTCGGACCACTCGTGATGCTATTCCGCTAAATGTTCTCCTGTCATTTGTCTCTCAAACTATGCCACTCTGTCTCTTGTTGAAAGATACGACAAGCATCCTGATGCGAACCAAGTGGAGACAATTGTACCTTCATCACTGAAGTGTCTAATCCGACGGAAGCAAGAAGAACAGCTCCAGGGACATTGCCTGGGGGTCAATAGATTCTAAGAGTAGAGTCCTAACGGCATCTACCATGGAGATGTTTTCTCCATTCTCAAGACTGGCAGGGACCTGGAACGTATTGGTAAGAGAAATAGGTCGCAAATTTTGCGTGAATTCTGTGCAGGAGAATTGTTTCGAGCTGCTATCATAGGTGATATAGCGTTTCAACTAAGCACAGAGTTAGTGAGTCGTTAGAGCACGCGTTTGAGGGTTCTGCTTACCGAAGCAAGCCTCACACCAAGCCACAGACACCTCTCTGCACGTGATGCTGCATGACTTGGAAGCTCTAGTGTGCGGTCATCCTCGTCTGTCACTTGTTCCTCGAAAAATTCGGGGGCATAGTAGTGATAATGAGACCATTTAAACCCACGTATCAAGAAGTCCTCTGGTAATTGACGACCTGTGCCTGACTGTTGTTGAGGAAAACCTGGAGCCTCAACTTCATTGTCAGCCACACCAGATCTACTCATCGAGTTTAACGATAAAACCAATTTGTCCCATGGAACGTAGTTTTCGAGGTAGATAAGAGTCTCTGGAACATCTGATAGACCCCATAGAAATGACAGAGTGAAGTGTAGGAACGGGAGAATGTTCCTGTCTCCGACTTTGGCCGCAACGATGGAAATGCATTGGTACCAGACAGGTAGAACGTATGATGTTACTTCGTCTGAAGAAGAGAATTCAACCCCTGGTCTGTCACCAAGTGGCGTAGCAGCCTGGACAAAGTCTTGAACATTAATAGGGCCATCTTGTTCCCAGAATTTGCGGCGCATTTGAGATTTAGCCACAGGATCCTTAGAGGGGTTTGTGCCGGAGGGCTGGTCTGATTGTTCTTCATTTTGGCTCTGCTTGTTCTTTGAGTCCGCACAAAGGGCTTTCCACAGGAAATTCTCGTCAGAGCCGAAGTCGAGAATCATGGCAATGAGGGACGATGCCATTTCTGCTCCTTGTATCTTGAAGTTCGATCCTGTCCTGTTGATAGTGCCATCTAACTCGGATGTAAATTGACTGATATGTAAACAATAATCATGGACAAATCCACGAGTAAAGAGGACACCTGCCGCGGTGACCAGGCTAGTTTCTACCCTGAGGTACTTCTGACTTGTTGTCTCATACTTATCAAGGAAAGGAGAGAATAAGAGCATGATCGAGTCTCGAGCGTTCACAAATGGGATGCCGCTAATCAGTGCCTTGGAATAATAAAACAGCTGACGAACCACATTCGGTCTCGCTAAAACGGCCAAGTGATGCTGTATACGACCGGTCGTAGCCGAGCGATCGGCAGCACGATTATACCACATCCGGGCAACATTAGACCAGTTCTCTCGGTCCCGCATATCAGATTCTTCGATGGCCATCCGGTATCGAGCCAGGTCTCCTAGGCATTCTATCCATGTTTCATGAAAAGTAGGCACTGATTCCATCAACAGACTCATCATTTGATAAGCGAGATAGACGAAGCTGAGCATATGCTCTAGTGAGAACGGCAGTCGATGGCGGAGTAACTCAAGAAAAGAGTGAATTCCATGTCTCCACATCCGGGCGGGCATGGCATACTTTGTTGATAGCCGTCGAAGCGCTGGTGACGCTGTGGGATATTGACTGGCCAAGAAGAAATCATGATGCTGGTATAACAGGGTCCGGTGCAAGGCAATCAATGCCTGCCACTGCTCATTGGAGAGCTTGTTTGTAGTCTGGGACTGCTGCTGGCAAATCTCGACACATTTCTTCTCGACCATAACGAGGCCAGCATAAATTCCTTTCACTTCGTTGACGAGTTCTTCTTGTGAGATAGGTTTTGTTTCAAATTGCAATCGCATTTGGTGGGCATGAGAACTGCTGTAACAGCAAATATAGTTAGCCGAACGCAGAATAAGATGACGACGATGAAGACATTACCCTATGGGGCCT